GCTTGGTTCTCAAACAAGAATCCCTCAATTGGAATTTGGAGTACAGACCGGACATCAGGAATTTTCACTGCCCCCCCCCCCCATGGATGTTCAGGGGCTGGTAACTGCCCTCTGGGGAGTCTGTTGCGACACCCACATGCTCCTCTCAGGGTGGGAGGGGAAGCGGGGAGGTGTGTGCAGCTGGGCAGAGCTCCGAGGGGCCTGCTGCCCCTGGAGAAAGTGACCTAAACTCCCTGCCTCGAGAAGCATTCTTGATCCGGCTTCTTGTAGATGAAACGGCTATTTCCTCAGTGCGCTTTGCTTTGAAGGTGGTTTTTCTTTGTTCGGCACATGCAGGCATTCATGTTCCACAAATGTGAACTCCGAAATTCTCAAACCCCCCCCCCCCCCCGTGGTGTGCCCGCTGGCGAGCCCCCTGGTATCAGCTCTTTATTTCATCCACACAACGAAGGAGCAGCCCGGCCCTGGGCATTGAGCAACGTAGATCGTTCAACACTCACTCGGGGTGTGGGGCACTGACCCCCAGCCAGGAAGCGTGCAGGACCAGGACTCCGTGGCTGGTGACAGTCTCCCGCCTTCCGCGGAGGCGCTCATCCATGTGACTTCTGTTAGGATGTGAGCGATGGGAGAAGTGAGAGCTTCCTAATTGTCACTCCTCTTTCTGAGTAAAGGAGTCTGTTTTCTGGAGGAGAGGCCACGCACCCAGGGGATGAACAGCGAGTATATTGCAAATGCATCTGCTACCTGGAACCTGTGGGTTCCAGTCCTAGTGTGGTAGACGCCGCACATTCGAGGAATGGGTGGGTCTGGATCTCATTTTGTTATTTCCTGTGTTACCCAGACGAGTCGGTCTGGTCACCGTGGTCTCAAGCTGTGGCCTCCAGCCAGCAGCACCTGCACCCCGGGAATGTGTTGGAGAGGCAGCTTGTCCACCCCACCCAGCCCTCCGACTCAGAGCCCGGGGCTTTGCCCAGCCCCCCAGGAGGTTCGGACCCTGCAGCCCTGGTTCTTGTCGATAAAGTAAGGCGACCGGCCCAGGTTATATTTCAGGTCCCTTCCAGCTCTCTCTCCAGTGGCCTTGGGGTGGGGCCCGGAACAGGCAGAGCGATTCTCTGTCTTAGATCATGAACTGCCTCTTGAATGTGTCTGAAATAATTCAGCTGAAAACCAGGCACATGGGTAACAGAAGAGAAACAGATCTCCAGACCTCCACACCCAAACCCCGTTAGGGTGCTCACTATAAAAAAAACCGTGCCACCTTCAGCGTTGGTGTCATTTCCCCAAAATGAAAAGCCCCTGGTGCTTCGGGAAGGGCGCACCCCCATTTCTGTAGAGGCCGAGGGCTGTCTGATAGGACTCACTGAGCAGCATTCTGTAGGAACTAAGAAACGGCATTTCAGAGGGATGCACAGAGGTACACAGGCTTTGCCGTAAGACAAGGGAACATTTCAAGCCGTTTATCAAAGCTCATGCAGCTTCTATTTCAAGACGGGAGGGGAAAATATCACGGACCAAGAAGGGAAAATAAATCCGTACCCAGAGCGTCTCATAAATGAGAAAGTGGGGGACGGTTGGCCTCGCCGGTTCTCGGAGTATTTTTGTCACAGTGTGGAAAGCTTCCCAGGCTTTCAGCATGTAATTCTTTTCGTTTTCCTGATACCAAAACCAAGGTTGTAAATTACTTTACTGATGGTTAAAGCCAAAAGGGAAAAAGGAAACAATAATTTGAAGGAGAGAGGAGCTGGGAAAATGGAACCTGGAACCTGGGGATGAAAAAGAGGGAGGAAGAGAGAACAGAGTTCACCCACCACTACGAAGTAATTTGTTTTCCATCTGCAGTGCAGGGAGCTTCACAATTTAGGGCAAGTCCCAGAACATCAAAGGCAGTTTTCTAATTGCTTCTGTTGAGTAGCAGCCTATTTGTCAGAGACCAGAGGAATGGTGTGTTGAACATCAGAGAGAGAGAGAGCGAGAGAGAGAGAGAGAGGTCTGTTATGCCTTGGAGGGGTGGAGAAATTGTAGCTTTTGTTTAAAAGGATGGACTGCAGGCCCATTATCCCTGAGCAAGTAATGTGGACGGAGGAGGACCACAGTTGAGGACCTCTGCATTGGGCATCTCTGTGAACTTCAACACCTGGACACTAAAACCCTGGTTAAGAGCCTGCACTCTGAGTATTAATTCACCATAAAGGTGTGGGTTTACTTCTGGGCTCTCTATTCTGTTCCATTGATCTGCTTTTATGCTAGTACCATGCTGTTTTGATTACTAGGGCCATGTAGTATAGTTTGATATCAGGTAGTTTTGTTTTTTCTCAAGATTGATGTGGCTATTCAGGGTCATTTGTGGTTCCATATACATTTTTGGAATATTTGTTCTAGTTCTGAGAAATATGCCATTGGTATCTTGATAGAATTGCATTGAATGTATAGATTGCTTTGGGTAGTATGGACGTTTTAATGACGTTAATTATTCCTGTCCATGAACATGGTATATACTTTCACTTATTTGTACCTTCTTCATTTTCTTTTTTTACTGTCTGATAATTCCCCAAGTACAGGCTTTTTACATTCTTGGTTAAATTTATCGCAAGGTATTTTATTTTATTTTTTGATGCAGTTGTAAATGGGATTGCCAAATTCTGGCTCTATACTTTGGGCAAGCTCCCCAGACACCCAGTGCCTCAGTTTCCTTCTCTGTCATGGGAGAATAATAATCAAACCTACTTTGAGGATCAAGAGTTAGTACATGAAGGTACTTTGCAGAATTCATGGCATAACACAGGCATTATTTTATTGGGAGTATTTGCTAAATAGCCACATGTTTCTTTAAAAGAACCCTAAAAGTAAATTATATTATTTAACTGTAAGACCTTTTGAAATCAGTGGTGCCCTATTTGGTGGCCCCCAGGTGTGCATAAGGGTATGTGTGTGTGACTGATAGAAGGAGGCTTTGAAGGGTCCCTGGGAGCAAATGCAAACAAGACTGATGACTTTTGAGCCGTGGGACCTTCTCCAGGGTCAGCTTCACTAACATACAGCTTTGGGGGTTGTTCCAGTTAGATCCAGAGAACTACTCTTTGTCATTTGGTTTCCTTTTTGTGTATTTATTTCTGGAATAGACTCACAGACCAACACTAGAAACAGGACTGAAATAAATGCCATACTTCCCTCTCTCCCATGGGGCACACTCTTCTTCATTGCTGGGACCATGCTGGGTGGCAGCTACTATTGAGCAGCCTACATTTTTCTCAGATCAACTGTCCTCATTCTGTGTAGCATCGAAATGCTAGCAGCACCGAAACAAATGCATCCGACTTGCAAATGGTGCTGCGGTTTCCTCGTCAACAAATTGGGGGAGGGGAGGTGGCGCCCACTGTGTGCTAGAGAGATGATAGCATGGATGACACGAAAGGACTCCGCAAATAGTAACTTCCTAAGCTGCTACTTGTATTCATGAAAATCCAATGTACCAAAGTCAAAATAATACCTTTGTGTGCAGTGCGAGACATTCCACTGTTCTCTAAAGAACTGGCAGTATTACAAAGTCTTTCATCGCACCTTACTTTTTAGATGAAGTCTCTGATCATTGATTTCCAGCATTTTGATTTCCCCCCGCTATTGAACGCAAACCTGACCTCTTACTCCGTAAACATCAGGTGAAAGCCGAAGCCCCCTGTCTTTAATGTGTCCGGTGAATTGCATTTTTGACACAATTATGTTTATTTCATGAGCTCTGTCCCTCTTATATAAGTGGTGGTGCTTTGCGATTTTTAAAACTTTCCAACATCCGAATAAATGAATCAGGATAAAATGCTGAATGAAAACAAAGTCGCTCCACTGAGCCACCCTGCCGTAGAGAGCGGGCAGGGGTGCTTCGGCCGGCAGGCAGCGCCGCTCTGTGGTCATTTCAGACGTTGTTTGCCAGCTCAGAACATTTGCGTTTCAGACATTTCAGCAGCATGGAAAAGACAGCGTCTATGTTCTCTTACATAATTTACAGGAGCGTGGGCTGTTTGAACCTTGAGTAAGTGAACAAGAAGTCCTTCCTGAACTGGAATTAGAAAAACTACAGAGAACCAAGATGTCCTGGCAGTTCAGAGAGCCAAGCTGCTCATTCACAAGGATTTAGGAACAAAACACAATTATGTAGTTTCACACGAATTACCTATATTAGGAGGGAAAAGCAAGTGTTTTAATGCCTCTTTAACATTTATTTTTCAGGTCTTTAACCAAAAAAAAAAACCAAAAACAAAAATAAAAAAACTCTTAAAACACTCACCATCTGTAGATGCATGTTCAGGACGGGGAGGCGTGGTTGTGTCTGAGGATTAACGGTGGAGCGTGGTTTGTTCCTTGGACAAGAGCCTTGTGGGTGACCTTGAACCTGTGGAGAATGTGTTGGGCGTATTTGTGACTATGATTTTGTCTTCCTGGTTCTCACACTGTGTGCAGTGACCACAGGTCAGCACACTCCCCGAGAGCAGGCAGGTGTCGGGACCCGGGGGCAGCTGCTTTCTATCCAGTGCCCATGCCCCAGGCCTGCGGGCTGTGTAACCCTGGACAGTTCACAGAGTCCACGGGCTGGGTGGGCACCGTGTGAGGATGAGGAAGTTAAGGTGCAGAAGGAGCAGCTAATGGCCGAGATGTGGCCTCGTCCCAGCTCTTTCTCCCCAAATGCTGTTGGTTTCACCACAGCACAGCTCCCAGACACACAGTTGTTACATGATTTTCTTTGACCTTCAGTGTTACATCTAAGGACAATCCTGCACTTCGCTCTTCAGCTGAGTTCCTAACCCGGGTGTAAAAGATGGCGTTGCTGCCCCTGTAGATAGAAGCTCCTACCACTACCCAGCAGGTTTCCATGGAGATAGAGGTGTTCCTACTTGGTTACTTGGAGTTTGCCTTGTGGTGCTTCGGTCTTGAGGTGGGAACCCAGACCTCTGCTGGCTGGTGGGTCCACTGAGGCATTAACCTGATCCAACCTTGTGTTTTAATCACAGAATCACGTCAACCCCGCCATGGACTTTACCCAGACGCCCCCGGGGATGTTAGCCCTGGACAACATGCTCTACTTCGCCAAGCAGCACCAGGACGCCTACATCCGGGTAAGCTCACAGCCCCTCGCGGTCACAGGTTTCCTGCTGAACTTGAATTTCAAGCTCACAGGGATGGAGGCATTCCCCTGAGATGAGCGGCCCCAGAGGTTTGGCTTTCATCACTCAGTAAAGTAAAAATTAAAATGAAATGAAACCCACCAGGGGCAATGACGTAAAGACTTTTCACCTCTGAGCATTCTTCATGTGATGACATTGAAAAATACAATAGCACAGCCCAGCCAGGGTGGCTCAGTGATTGAGCATCAACCTATAAACCAGAAGTTCCCAGGTTCGATTCCTGGTCAGGGCACATGCCCAGGTTGCAGGCTCGATCCCCAGTGTGGGGCATGCAGGAGGCAGACAGTCAATGATTCTCTCTCATCATTGTTGTTTTTTTCTCTCTCTCCCCCTTTCTTTTCCTCTCTGAAACCAATAATAAAAGTATACTTTTTACAAATACAATAGTACTGGAAAACTGGTTTATGTGGTTCAATATCTAATTATGACAGAAGCTCTTAGGCTTCAGTAACAAGGACGGAAATGAGCTCTCTACCAGAACCCCGCATGGCTCCGACGAGAGTGGAAACTGTGGACTCTAATACTCTGGAGCAGGGGCCCAGGGTTCCCTCCGGCACCACCTCTGTCCACTGCTGGAGATACAGTGAGATAAACAGCCAAGAATGGGAGAGGCGCGGAGGTGGATCTCTTTGTGAGCCCGGCAGAAGGAAAAGAGAAGATGCCCCCACTGATGGGGCAGTACAGGTGTGGGGAGGACCAGGTGAGGATGAGGGGGAGCGTAGGGACTGTGACAGAGGAGGCCTGCCCTTTGGGGCTGCTCCACAGAGGTCCTGGGCTTGTGCTGACACCTGTCGCCTGTCCTCAGGGCGAGGAGCCCAGATTCAGTCGGGATGGGGTGCACCCGCCCCAGGCTGGGTGGAGCAGGATGTGGACAAATGGGACAAGAGAACCGGCGAGCAGGGCCAAGGATGACTAGATGTCAGCTTAGCGCGTGAGGAACGAGTGTCCAGTGCAGGACGAGTGGGGCGGAGATTAGAGAAAGGCAAGCGTCTGTTACTCATCTTTTCTCTTGGTCCCTCCCGGTGGTGCTGGCTCCGGGACACCGGGGTTTGGGACTCACCCCGTGGTTCTCTGGTGATCCAAATGTGGGCGACTCCGTTGGTCTGTGCTGAAATTTCTTCCTAAACGGGAGCACTGCCCCCTGGGGGCATTTGGAAATGTGTGGGCTTGTTCCCTTGGCGCTCACCATGCCCAGTGGGGTGCTGCCGGCCCAAACCTCTAATACACGGGACATCTTCACCATGAAAAAGTGTGCTACCCAGGCGTGGCCCCCTTGACAAAGACGCCAGGCCCTGGGTTCCTGCAGGCACTTGGTTTGAAATGTGTTTTACTGAATAGAAACAGACTCGTGGACAGAGAACAGACTGACAGCTGTCAGAGGGGAGGGGTGCTGCAAGGCGGGGGAAAGGTGAAGGGACTGAGAGAAAACCTCATACACTTTCCCATACATGCAGCTTGCTAAGCTTTGGCGTCCCCTGAAATATTACTTGTAATTTGATTAGACAAAGGGTTTTGGTGCATTTCTCTGAAAGATGGGAGATCGGATCGTGGCCAGAAGTGCAATCTCCCTTAAGAAAAGCGTCTCCCTCTCTCCCTGTCTGTTGAGGAGTGACTGACATACATCACTGAGTGCGTTTACGACACAGCGTGAGGGGGGATTTATGAAGCCGGAGAAGAAAATGGTTTTGTTTTTCATAAAAGCTTCATTTGGCTTGTAATGTGTGTATATTTGTTGCGCAGATATGTTTTCTAGGAGTGTAATCTGCTTGCAAAGAAGTGAATTAATATTTGAGATACTGTGTAGTATAGCCTCCGGAAGGTTGCGTGTGAAAATGAGCCGTGTGGAAATTGAATTCAGAATTAATGATTCATGTTTGTGGACGGAGAATGTTTCTAAAATTAGAGCTTAGTGATGCTGAATGCATTGTTAATTGCATAAGCAGCATATGTCTCATGAAAAGTAACTTAACGTATTCAGCCCATTCTCCTCAACGCACTCTCTTAAACCGTCGTAAGTGAAATGACTGTGATGGAAACCGTATGGAATTTATCTCCAGTAGGGACTTAAATGAAGAACCTACTTATACAAGGAAAACGTGGCCCTTCTTGTCCACACACAATGTTTCTTATTGGTGAGACATTCCTGTAACTGAGATGAGTGTTTTCTCCGAAGTGTCGCTTTCCCGAGGCTGTTGGGCCCCACCTGACGCTGGGCCTGGCGGATGGGAAGCAGAAGCTGTTTTCCCGAATGCCTGGGTCACGGGAACAGCCTGGGGGCGGAGACCTGGGCAGGAGGCTTTGTGGTGGCTGTGAAAGATACCAGTGATGGTGAACTTGGCTGCAGAGCCTGGGGCTAGTGCTCTCAGACAGCTGAGTGAGTGTGCTCAGGAGCAGAGCAGTCCTTTCTGAAACGTAAAAATGGTTCTTTTTCCTAAGTTTACTTTTTGTTAGGATTTGCTCTTTTTCGGGCAGATCTGTCTGAACGCCATGGTTTATGTGTTATTTCTCCCTGCCCTGAGCAGACATTCGCCCTTCCCCCGACAGAGCCTCGCCATCCACTTTTCCCTCAGAGCCACGGAGAAGTTGTGACGTGCGCACACACTCACGCACATGCACACGCCAATACTTCCTCTGGGTTTGACATCCCTCCACCGACATGTTGGCTCAAACACGGTGCCTCTGTCCTTCCCCAACCCATCTTGTCGCCTGCTGTTCACACTCACCTGCCACCCACATTGCCACACCCCCACCTGGGCTTCCACCGGCTGCTGTCCAGAGGGAGGCAGGGCAGTCTTCCCGCCTCCTCTCAGCTCCCCGCCCTCCCACACTGGACACTCTGCCACTTGCTGTCCTCTGTCGCTGCCCGTCTTGCTTCTCCCCTTGGCTGCCCTGGTCTCTCTGGTGGGTCCTCTCCCTCCGCCTGCCCATCAGATGGACACGATCCCCGGGACTGTTTTCTCCTCAACCCCCCAGGCTGCCCAGGTTACTGAGTAACCACCAAAGGCCCATCGGGGAGCGAGGTGACGGGACTCCCCAAGGACCGCGTCACTCAGGAGTCTTGTCGTTGAGGAGCTTTCTGTATAAAACAGAAAGGAGGGTGGCCTGGGGGGAGAGGTCATCCAGCACTTTCCCCGTCACTGGGAATGTATTTTGATTGGGGAGGTGGGAGAATTGGGGACACAGACCAGAGTCCTCAGCACAGATGTGGAGGTCAGGCCAGGAAAGCTTCCTGGAGGAAGCGGTCCCTGCACTAAGGTCGGCGGGTAGTTCTTAATCAGGGGAACGGAGGGAGGGAGGGGAGGATGCTAAGCAGAGGGAAGCTGAGCAAAGGCAGAAAGGTGTGTGCTTTGTTCAGGGAACCAAAGCTCGTGTTACGCTGTGCCTAAACGTATGCTACCATGTCTACCACCTGGAGGGTGCACGTGGTCACGGCCAGGGAGGCAGAGGGGCCGACTCCTCGGGAACCTGTCACTGCATAGTGGTGTCTGGACTGAGCCTGAAGGCCGTGAGGAGTTTCCGAAGTGTTTTCAATAAGGACGATGACAGCTAATCTTAGAAAAGTCACTCTCCTGCTAGAAAACAAAGGTGAGACTCGCGGCGGCAGCGGAAATCCAAGGGGGTTATGGAGAAGCGCTGGCAGCCCTCACCAGGTAGTGGCGCAGCAGCTCGAATGAGTTATTCTGGATCGAAAAGAAGCTGCTGTCTCCGGGGAAGAAGGAGGGGCTTAGTGGCTGAGCGCATGTTGGGTGGTCGTGTCTTTAGTGACACCGTGCGGTCTGTAAGGGCTGTTCCCGTGGAGACATGCAGACCCTTAGCTGCGTGTGGGGCATCTGTGTGGTGGGCCCGCTAGTAGGCAGTGAGAAAGGGCAGCCAAGGTCAAGTCTGCATAGACTGCACAGTCTGTATGTTATGTGTCCCGGGACCTTCGAACCCACTCTCCGTGGAGCTGTGAGGATGACCTCAGACACCGCGTTCCGACGCGCCGGGGAACCCCTGGCCACAGGCCTGCCTCTGTGGCACCTGGCACAGGGCGGAGTTTAATAATTTCTCGTTAGTTACATGAGTAAAGTCTCTTCAGTTTTTACTTAAACGGTCTCTTGCCAGTGATCAGTGTGTGTGTTACCATCTGAGAACCGTGGCTTCGTGCTTCCAGCAGTGACCGGAGGTATGTTTCTGAACGTGGATTTATGGACAGGCAGCCTGGCTTCTCCTGAACCCTTGAGTGAACTCGGAGCTGGTCCTGGGGAGAGCAGGGATGGGATTGAATTAGCCCACACGTGGGTGGGCACAGCACACGAGGAGGAATTGTGGGTCTGGGCACCCGCTGTGCCCGAGTCAGATCTGGAGTCCTTGGCGACCTCAGACTTGTGGGTCACACTTACTCGGGACAGAATCGATTATTTTCTTTTTATAAATATATATATTTTTATTCATTTCAGAAAGGAAGGGAGAGAGAGAGACATCAATGAGGAGAGAGAATCATTGAATGGCTGCCTCCTGCACACCCCCCACTGGGGATCAAGCTGCACCTGGGCATGTGCCCTGACCGGGAATTGAACCCTGACCTCCTGATTCATAGGTCGAATTTCAACCACTGAGCCACACTGGCCGGGCAGAATTGCTTGTTTTCTGCAGATACTTCTCCCCAGCGAGGCCTGTCTGAGAGGTGGAGCGCAGTGCCCGCTCCCTCCCGTGGTCCTGCGGGCACTCACACGTCACAGACAGGGCAGTGGCACAGAGCTGAGATGTCATGTCTTTGTGTTGTTGTTGTTGTTCTTTGTTGTTGTTTTGTTGTTGTTGTTGTTATTGCTCTTTCTGGAATGACAAGCTTAGTGGCTCCACGGAAATATGGACTCAGAATATATATTCTTGGTGTATTTGATTCTTCACTGGAACCTGCAAAGAAACCCAAATTACTTGTTTTTTTCATT